ATTGTTGATATTCCTTCCTCCTATTTTCACTTCTCCTTCTTCTGTGTTTAAGCCTGCTTTTCCTATGATATGTTCTGCATACAAGTTGAACAGATAGGGTGAAAGGATGCAGCCTTTTCTGACCCCTTTGCCAATTGGGAACCATTCCGTTTTTCTGTAGCATTAACTATAATAAAATATCACCTCCATCCAGTTATTGCTGTGTCTCCCAAACATGGTTAGGGTATATCTGGCCATTAATGTAAAACTCCTATGAATGCCCCCCAACATGGTTGTATTCTAAGAAAAGAAAAGTGTGATGTTTCTAGTTGTAGTGCTGGAATTGGGCAGTCATGTAGTACCAACTCTCTTCCTCGCTCTCTTTCCCCCTGCTATTCCCAAGCAACCTCTTTTCTTCTTTTTTCCACTTTCTTTCTTTCTTCTCTCCCCAATAGCATTGCCACAATTACTGAATTCAGTAAAAAATAAAAATAAAAACCACCCCTCCACACACACAAAAACAAAGAAACCTAAAAGACATGTTGGGTAAGGCAGTGAGGAGGGAGGTGGGGTTAAAGAGCATCCTGGTAAAGTGAGTCCATGCTGGGAAATGGCTTCAGTCTCATTATTGGAGGATAAGGAAAGTTCAAAAACTGGTATGTATCTGGTTCCTCTCTCTAATGAGATTTCAGTAATATTGGGATTTGTGTGATAGCCCTTGGAAAAGCTTTGCCCCTTCCCCCAGAAGATAGTTTTTTTAAAAAAAGTATTGCTTTTTTTTACATAAATATATACATTATATAAATACATTCAATCTCATGTATACAATTGCATTAAAAAGACAAAACAACACACTAATAATAAAACAATACAACATGTTCTAAACATAAAACTATTACTATCACATGACAGCTTACATCCTCTTCATGCAATTGACATAAAAGGAAAAACTTCCTATTTTTCAGCCAATATCCTTCCAAAGCTTGTCGTTTATCTGATTTTCAATTCCTGAATTGTTTGTCATTTGTATCCCTGGCAGATTATTACATGAGTTGAAGATAGGTTTTAAAAGTCTGCTTGAATTGGTTAGTTATACAAACTTTGATGGAAGCTTGATCATAGACTCATACAGTCAGAGAGATGGAAGGGACCAAATGCGGCATCTACTCGAATTCCTTACTAAAAGTGGTACACAGCTAAAGCACTACTGAAAGATGGCCATCTAACTTCTCTTGGTGTCGCACACCTGTGTAAGTTCCCTCCACATGCCGTTGTATCTTTTTGGCTGTTTTGCAAGGGACATATTCTGAGTTTCATAAGTGCAACCATTTGTTATATTGATGAACAATTCAGTTCAGAAATCCAGGCTTTCGGTAGTCAAAGGAGAACAACTTCATTCAGAAACTACAGATGCTCATCACAGATATGTGTTATAAGGAGTGAGAGTCCAGTGGTAATACAATATACTTAAGGCATACACTAATTCAATTTTTAAGCAGGCTGACCCCACAACCAAACAAACTTTTCCCCACCTGTTTCTCACAGGCACCTCTCATTTCACCCCACACCATCCATTCTCATGAGACCAACCTTGAATCTCCAGGCACAGTCTCACCTCCCTTTTTCCTGCTGCTTGTCAACCATTAAAGGAATATGAGGAACAGCCCTAATAGTTAACTTGTGACTACATGCTTCATTATCCATATTAGGTACCACATAACTAGTTATAAGCAAACAGTTATGGCAGGCAGGCTGAGAGGCTCAGCTCCTGACCATTTTGTTGTTGTTGTGTGCCTTCAGGAAGTTTTCAACTTATGGCAACCCTAAGGTGAACCTATCATGGGGGTTTCTTAGTAAGAGTTGTTCAGAGGAGGTTTGCCATTGCCTTCCTCTGAGGCTAAGAGACTGTGGCTTTCCCAAGGTCACCCACTGGGTTTCATGGCCGATCTGGTAATTGAACCCTAGTCCCTAGAGTTGTAGTCCAACACTCAAACCACTACACCATACAACCTATGCATTTACTCACAATTCAGCAATTGATTCAGTGAGTCTACTCTACTTGGAACTAACCAACAGGATACAGCTGTGCAATGGTACATTCTTAGATGTTATGTAGCTATTTATCAGTGTCAACTATATAATACTTTCTTCACTGGAATTGCAACAACAGCCATTGTGTATTTCTCAATATATGATTGGACAATACATAGGTACATTGGCAGATACACAATGTCAGTATTCATCCAAAGGGTGGTGTTCTGAATTGCCTTGTAACTACATAAGTGTAGGTTTGCACCTCATAAGCACAATGTAGGAGGTTACTTTTTCAGAGTCAACTACTACTTGTCCCCATGGCATTCTCTCAGAATGAAGAGAATTGATTTCATGGCTTCCATCATTCCAGGATCTCTTACCTCAATCATAGAAGGAGTCCTCCTCTTGCACTTGCCCCTTGTCTCATATACAGTTGTCGGAGCATTAAGATCTGTCTTGGAAAATTGTGTTCTGGACACAACAATAGAGTAAACTGATGTGTTAACTGAAGACTAGAGGATGATTAGACACAGACTGACCTTGCACAAAGAACATGGGAGGAGTGTCTGATCAAACAGGCAAGACCCACATCCCCCTGTCAAGGGTCTCAGTGTCTTCCTACCATCCACTTGCCTTACTTGTATGAAAAGGGGATATATATATATATATATATATATACTGACATACATGTGTGAAATTTCTCCATATGAAGGAGGATCCACAATCTTTCTAGGGGCAGTGCCTTGTTTAGGAAATAGTCTCACTAGGAATGCTCCCTTAATATCAGCATCCTCCTCTTTTGGACAGCCAATGAAGATATCTCTTGAGATTCTAATAATGCCTTTGTGTTGCTGCTTTTGGGTTTTATCTTGATAGTTTCTTGCTTTATATATTATTTCCTTCTTGCTGCTTCCATTAATCTATTGCTGGAATCCTGTTGGTGTCATACACAACCATAATGTCACATTACACCTGCATATGTCTTTTTATAGTTAGTAGCAATGCCCTAAGTGCCATTTGCCTTCCTGCAGTGGGGATGCACACATGGCCATTTAGTGCCTGGGGGTGAGGGACAACCAGGTAGCATCTGGATGTGTTTCTGTAGTCAGACACATGAAAAAGGAATCTTTCCAATCTTGGTGTTAACTTCTGTCAAGTTGCCTTTGACTTACAGTGACCCTATGAAGGAGAGACCTCCAACTCACCCTGTCAGCAACGGCCCTGCTCAGGTCTTGCAAACTCAAGGCTGTGGTTTCCTTGATAAAAAGTTTATCCATCTGCAATGCAGTATTCTTCTTTTCCTACTGTCTTCCACCTTACCAAGCATTATTGTCTTTTCTAGTAAGTGACATGTTTTCATAACATGGCCAAAGTATGATACTCTTAGTTTAGTCATCATGGCTTCTACATGGAACTCAGGCCTGATTTGCTCTAGGACCCATTTGTCTTTTTAGCAGTCCAGAGTATCTAAAGAACTCTCCTCCAATCCCACATCTTAAATGAGTTGACTCTCTTACTATCAGCCTTCTTTATTGTCCAGCTTTCATAACCATACATAGAAATGGGAGAAACAATGGCATGGATAATCCTGACTTTGTTATTCAATTATATATCTTGACACTTCAGGGTCTTTTCTAGTTTCTTCATAGCTGCCCTTCCAAGTCCTAATCTTCTGAGTTCTTGACTGCAGTCTCCATTGTAATTAATGACTGAGCCAAGGCACAGTAACTTTTTGATTATCTCAATGTCTAAAGCAGACAATGAAGACAATTTGAAGTAAATTTCTTCAAAAGGGATGAGTTTTTAAGTCCTCTGTGACTCTGGGAATGGAAACCCCTGGGAGATCTCAGACTCTTTAAAATGGAGTCATCATGAACATGTTGAAGCAAGAGATCTCAATGTAGGCCTTTATGGGACATAATAGGCTGACAATGGGCCATGGAACAGAGGGGTTTTTTGTTTGTTTGTTCCTGTCTTAATTATTGTGCCATATCCTTCTATTGCATAATACATGGACAGAGTGCCCATCTCTAATGATCACAGCAAGAAGTCTCACTTGAAGAAGTCTCACTTGAATCTTTCCTGAAAGACTTGTCCTTGTTGGCATTATACATTAAAGGTGTTCAGAAGAACCATAGATTAACTATATGGTACTGGCTGAACACATTAGGGTGTGTTTCTGGGAGTCTGGGAGCTCCCAGGGTTTCTATTCCCATAGTCACAGAGGGCCACCAGTAAGACTCATAAAAGAAGGAAAAAATAATCCAATATTCTGTGTTGCACATCCTAGTTGTCTCAACCAGTTATATGCAATTCACTGGCAATTCTTTTTCAGCAACCAGGCAACCAAATTCCTGTGCGGCTCTGAAGAAGTGACCTTTTAATGATGTTCCTCACTATTAACTTTATTGTTAATCTTTAAATAATGACAGGGGAGGTGTGCTATTCTTCACTTGGTTTGTAGGTTCCCTCTGTTCATCCTTTGGCATCTCTCTGGCAGTAAAGTCATCTTGTAGTTGTTGAAATCCTTGAATTCAAAATTAACACCAAAGAAAGACTACAGGAAAGATGTCCAGAGCCTCACCAGGGTCACCAGTAAGACTTAGCTCTGCATGTTTGTGTGTGTGCATACACACATGTGTATGTTCATTGAAATGCATTAAGTTTGAATAATCACATTTTGAATTTATTGAAGTCTCACCTTGAAATCTGTCTTCCAGTTCTTTTCTCTTTCTCCACTTTTACGAAGGTGAAAGTCTTAACAGAAAGAGAATGCAATCAGCTGTGTTCAGTTTTATCATGTATCAGTAGAGGAGAACTATAAGTTCATTTTAGAACTTTTCAATCTCTGAAAAGGGATGGAATGTATGAAAAGACTGAAAACTTACGTTTTTGCTGCTTCTGTCTGACAGCTGAACTTTCATGGTCTCCTCCACCACTCCTGCAGAATGCTTTTTCTATTTTGTTTTGTACTGGAACCAATGATTGAAATGACAAGAAAGGAGACTCTGAGGTCCTGAGCAGATGTGCCAGCATAGCATGGGCCAAGTCCATAATATCCTAGCTGGAGTCCAAACCTAGACTGGTATGGGGATGTTTAAATGCCTGCCCATCAGCATGCCATGGACCCTCTACTGCCACATGCCCCTTATCTTCCTCCACCATTGCCACTTGTGGGAAGATTTCTGCTGCTGTGTCTGATGTGGAAATGGGGTGCCTGGCTGCAGTTACATGACCAAGCACCCCATTTCCACATCAGATGTGGCAACAGGGGTCTTCTCACTAGCAGCAAAGGAAGACTAAAGGGGCTTGCAGGGACATCTCATCTGCCAGGATTTGCTGCAGTTTTGTGGAAACTCCATGGTAAATGGTAGGTCAGTTTGACTCATGTTGAGGGCCCTTTGATCCAAGACAGGTCCAGGTCCACTGGATCCAAGTCTAGTCTGCTGGATCCTTGCCCAATCCCAGCCTGGGGCTAATGACCTGTGCCATCCAAATAGGATGAAATGATGCCGAGAAGAACATGGGCCTTTTAGTCTGTGGGGGACAGCTCTTGTATGAACATTAAGAAGTCCTGGTGGTAAAAGCAGTTTGACAGTGTAAAAGAGACAGTGTAATATGCATATGCAAGAGAGTTTAGAAATTTGAATTTGGGACTTCCTGCTTAGCACTTAGAGACATTTTTCATATTATTAAACAGCAAAAATGTTGCTTTGTTTTAAACTTCCAATGAAGAAGAGTCCACCACTGTCTGAGGCAGTCTCTTCCATGGTCAAACAGTTCTGACCTCAGTAGGTTCTGCCTAGTGTTTAAGCATTAGGAAGAACCTCTCCTTTTTTGTTAAAACTATAATCTGTGAAATGGCTTACAAGTGCCAAGTAGGAAATCCCAAGTTAAAATTCAACTGTTGCATATGCTCATATAAGCAGCCCTCTTGCTTCTTTTCACATGAACCTCCCCTTACATTTCCCAGGTGGATGGTACTAGAAGCAACTTGAATCCAACCAGTGTGTTTGGAATGCTGCCTTTCTCCTATTAACACTTTAAACACAAATGGAGTGGTGGTCAGTGTCTTGATGCTGTGGCATCTCCAAGATTGTGGGGAAGATGGATTAAATTACTATAATCTTCAGATGGTCATATCAGTGGGATAGTATAATGGGAGCTGTAGTTAACTCTCTGCAATGTTCTATATGCTTCTAACACAAAAAGTGAATCCTGATATTACTCTACACTTGGGGTAGGGAATCCTGAACCTCCCTTCCCCATTCCTCCCATGGAATGGCCTTCCACTTCCATTCAAACTGTGTTTGGGATAAAATGTTGTGTGGCATGCATCTTGCTTTGCTAAAGATTCTCAACCTCCAGATGTTTTTGGAGGCAAAATGTAACCAAAAATGGTGATGGAGCTCTCAGGAGATCCATACACAAATTGCTATCTCCACACTAATTTCAGAGTCATATAAAAGTGCCAACAGCAGTATGCCAATTGAGTAAAAGCCTTTGGTGATGGAATCCTCAGCATTGTGGTGTAGTGCTTTGAGCATTGGACTCTGATTCTGGAGACCAAGCTCAGACATGAAATCCACTGGATGACCTTGACACGTCACATGCTCACAACTTCAAGGGAAGGCAATGCCAAACCTCCACTGAACAAATCTTGCTGAGAAAGCCCCATGATAGATTCACCTTAAGGTTGCCATAAACTGAAAGCAAACAGCACACACTGATGTCTGGAAAAGAAATATCCGTGTCCCATTCACACACTGATCTGTTCAGATGATGCCCAGGACCAAATGGGTGGAACATGGGTCAATCTCCCAGTCAATTCTCTTGAATAAAAAGAATCCCTTTTTGCTCCAGATCAGGGCAGAAACTCTGGAGAATCCCCTACCTGTGAGGAGTACATGCTGATGCAGGGGAAGGACTGTGAGTGGGCAGGTGGGCCATGACCCCTTCCTGCCCAGAACTTCCAGC